TAATGAATTGTTTTGAAGTTATAGATGAAACAATCTTCCTGATGCACTGCAAAATAAGTGTACAAGTAAATATTCTTTGATGATAGACAGTACTCATTAATAAAGCAATTGTCCATGATGATTTTACTTTTATTGTAATGGGTACCCTCTATTGTATATGTAGTATAATTGTGGTAATTGTTCATGCAGCTGTAGTTGAGATATATAACATTATAAAATAATATAAGAGTCAATATTTGTTGAAAATGATCTTTTTCCTAAAATATTGACTTTTTGCCGAAACTAAAAATGTCCAAGATTTGGTTTAGTGATCTTACGCCCTCACATCATTCCTAACAAAAAAATACTTAAAAGAAAAAAAATCTAGCGGGAGGGGGAAGGGTATAGGTAGCACTTTCTTCATTGAAAGTTTGTTTTTGAATGTAATGCTCATCGCCGAAAACGAGATCGTCGAAACTGATGCCGAAACAAACATTGTCGAAAAGCAAGATCGCCGGAATAGCTATCATCGATATAAAGATCGCCGAACTTTTTTCGATGATCTCTATCAGATACATTCTTTCCGCGATTATTATTTTTGTTCGTTCATTCGATATGAATTGTATGCAGAGAGCGGCTCTTGTTCTATGTCATAAACATCATGACTTGCACCCAATTTTTGAGATAGATTGCCAGTTGCTCTTAGTTTCTGATCTGATTCCTAACTTAAATTAGTTTCTGATTTAAGTTAGTTTCTAACTCAACCTAAGCACTTTGATTTAACGCTTGTATGCCTCATCATCGAAGAAGAAGCACTGTCGATGACTACATTGTAGAAAAGGACATCGTCGAAAGTCATATCGCCGAAATGATAAGTTGACGGTTGCCACATTGCTGAAGCTATACTTCGTCGAAATACAGTTCGCCGAATATCGGCAATCTGTATTTCGGCGAAGAACATACTTCCGTTGTTTGTCTATTTGATTAAAAAAAAGCTTTTCGGTCCATTTCGTTTTATTTTCATTCATTATTCGATAAGAAATGTCTGTACGTATATAACCTAATAAAGTAAGTCCTTTCCATGCAGATCTTTGGTTGATTGATGGATCTTCTTCCTTTAAACCAACACCTCATATACAATCAGTTGGTGAAGCTTCGACTAATACTTTATCGTTGTGTTACAAGAGAATCATTTTTAAATCTTCATTTTGTGTAAACTAAAAAATTGATCAAATAAGACATGTTAGTACAGTCCGTTCGAAATTAAAATGTAAAATAGGATTTAGCTATTGATATTTATCGCTAGAAAATAGTTGTATTCTATCTATTTTGAGACACATTTTTATATTATTCTTTTGTTTTACTTGATTCTTTCAAGAATGGAATAATGAAACAATTTATCTATGAACAAGTCCCAACATTATTGTCATGCAAATTATTGTTAGGTGTCTGTCACGAGCGAGGGGAGAAAGAATCGAAATTTCTACCTCTAAACTTTAACGCTTCTTTTAAGGGGACCCCCCCCTCAGAAATGATTTCCCCCTTAGAACCCACTGTTTGGGCTGAAATTTTCAGGAATGATTGGTCTTAGTGAGAAACGCTTGTGGTAAAAATTTCAGCCCGATATGCCGGACTAGATCGAACTTTCGGCTTGTTTTTCGACCTCCCAGGAGAATCGAAATAACTCCGTTATTAGAAGGGGTACAGAGCTCGGGCTGGTTTCAAATTGGAGCTAGTCTCTGTGCGCAACTTTTCATCGAACGGAATTTTGAAACTCCCTTCCATTCATTTTTTACGAGCAATTTGGCGGGAATGTCTGAAAAATAAGCATAAAAAAATGTGACTGTATGACAGTAAATCCCACTTTTATCAGCCCTGGGATTCAATATCAAAAATCCGTCTGATGAAAAGTTAGCTCTAATCAAGACCTTCAAAACAAAACAAAAATCATGGGTTATATGCCTAGCCGAGCGGGAGTTATTTCGATTTTTTTGTCTAGAAACCGTGTTTTGAGAAAAATGCTAAAGAAATTTTGGAGATGGATTTTTTCATTAAAATCCAGAATAAGTCATGCTGCAATGGTGTATTCCACTGGGGCGTCTGAAAGGACGTCACAGATGATGGCAACTAGCACCATCTGACATTGTGATCAGCATGAAAATGTTCTATTCCACGATAATGCTAGTGGAAACGCAATTTTTCTGAAGCTGGCACCCTTAAAAAATCATGAAGTTTTCTATAAAAACATGGTAGTGGATTTTAAGTTTCATGCGATAAGTCTTTGAAAATCTGATCATTTTCCAAAAAACTATATATATTCTGAAAGAGGAAGCTTCGTTGCATCTTCTTGTAATAAAACTCAACTTCAGTATTTTGCCAAAAAAATCGATTTTCTGAGGGGGGGGGGGGGTCCCCTTAAATCGTGTTCCACTAAATTAAATTTTTATTTAGTGAAAAAATTATTTGAAATATCATAAACTACTGACTTAAAGTAAGTATTTCAATACAAGACTGTAGACATATGAACTGAGCTATCGATGAGGTTATTTTCTTTATGATTATGCGAACTTTTCAAATGTACAACTTTTAGTATTTGATACTATCCTATACATCTATAGCTGCTTGTGTTATTTTAATCCATGGCATAAATGAAAATTTACTCTTAAGATTTATTTTAATATGTTATGGATTACTAATCCAACAAAATGCTTTTATATAGATAATTCAAGACTTTAGATTGTCAGATATTGATTATCCTAGCGATGTGTATTGAACCTCAATTAATATCCTTATCCTTGAGGATACTTTTACAAGACTGAATCATCAAGTCAAAAAACTGCTTCAAGACTCTCACAATGATAGCAATATTGTGTAACTTTATCAAATAAATTTAAAAACTCTTTAAACTAAAAGTTAAAGAAAATAAATCTATCTTATATCAAATCTTATGTTTGATTCAGGAGTGTAACAAGCGGAGTCACTTAGAAATCTTGAGAAATTTTCATTTCTCTTTAGTCCAGTTCGAGCATTTTATTTGGTTTTTTGTTTATCAATTCTCAAAAAACAATGTTCTACCTCAAAAAATCCATGGGTTGATGATATCTCATTCTTACTTTAAGATAAATTCCATCTGAAACAATCTTTGTTCGATTATCCATCCATGTTTGTTCATTGAAACTTTTTACTTTTCTTCCTAAACCTTTACATTTAGCAGACTTTTTAGCATCGAGAATTTTTCGGGCAATATCATCATCATTAAATAACTCTAATTCATATTAAATATAAATATACTACAAAAACAAAAACAAAAAAAAGAATCCAAGGATTTACTTGCTTTATGATACATCATATATTGTTCACTACAATGGAACTGAATACCATTTTCAATTACATTACATGAATAAAAATTGTTAAATGGTGATGTATTTTCATAAAAGCAGAAGAATTTCGTTGGATTATTATTTGAAAAATAAGCATGAACACGAGTGATAAGTTCAATTTCAGATGGACTTAATGGAGATTGAATACTTGTTGAGATAAATAATATCTACAATAACTGCATAGAGAAATTTCTGATTTACATATTCCTTCATATTTTTGCATAATTGTTGAGCAATACTATACATTATGTGTCACTAGCATAAGGAAAAGCATCAGAATTATTCACTCTTGATACAGCCAGAGGCATTGAAGATTTATTAGTTTGAAAAAAGAAAATGATATTTTTGTTCTAGTTAATCTTTTAAAGTTGTGTCAATAAATCCTTCCATATCATTAGTAAAACTTAATACATTGATATTCTCAACATTTCTTAGGTAGTTTTTAAATAAATGTTGTGATCCCTTCCAGCAACACCAGAAAAGTGATTTTTGAATTTTAACTTGAAACTGCATAAAGACAGGTCTTAATGAGAATAGGTTTATGTGAATCTTTTAAGCCTTGTCATTATTTCTATCCTAAAATACAACTATGGTATTAGTGCGTCTTTGTTCATCATACAGATTCACGAGCAGATTTGATGTTTTTATTTTAGAATAGAAGCCAATCAAAAGACCTGAAATTTTCACAATATCCTATTCTTGTAAAGATCTATCTCTATGAGAAGTTTCACGTTGAAATTCAAAAATCATTTTTTCTGGTGTTCTAAGGTGGAAAACAGCATTTATTTATAAAACAGCGTTTAAGTGCACTATCTCTGTAGCAATCACCTTAAGATACGAGTTTTTTTACACAGAATTCATATCTCATTTGATTTTACATAATGCATATAGTTTCGACTCAAAAGACATTGAACAGTTCAAAGATTCTCCTCATCAGATTGATTTTTGAATTCTTTTGCCTATCACTGTTATAAAAATTCATCAATTATCTTCAAATAAATAAGAGGTTTCATAATATTTAGGACTTAGTTTCGCGTTTATTATTATAAATATCCCAAATCGATACAGTTCGGTCTTCACTTGCACATGCCATTTGTCTTGTATGAAAATCAAAATCAATTGAATTAACTTGTTGTCGATGTAAATCTAACATAGCTAGTTGTTTTCCAGTTTCTCTTCGAAATAATCTTATTCTTGAATCCCAACCAGCTACTGCTATTAATTTTCCATCATCAGGTCGACATCGTATAAAACTTGTACCAGCATTTGGCATTTCTATATGACGAAATGTTGATGTTGGTTGTAATTTTAATGATGAAAAATCAAGTGATATTAAATCTGATTTTGTTGTACCACATAAACATGTATTACAAATAACATCCATGGCTGTTATAGGTTCATGGTCAGATGTTATTTGATATGTATCAAGTTGTTTTGTTGTTGTTACATCAAATACATTTAATGAACCACATTCGTATGCAACAAAAAGCCAACGATTATCATAAATACGTAATTTCATTATCATACCATGATTAATATTTGTTGTTATAGGAATAAACTTTTTAATAATAGGATTTGAACATTGAGAATCAAGTGCTACAACTGTTGAATTGTCATCACCACCAATTGGAACAACAATAAGATTTGGCGATATAATATCACAATTTGAAAATGAACAATGATTTGTTTGATAATCCCATTGACATTGACCAGATTCATTCCACAGTTTTACAAAACCATCTTTACTAAATGTAATTAATTTGTTATTTTCAATTAATTGACTTAAACCAAGTATTGTTGATGTATGAGCATTAGATAATGAAAGAATTGGTTGACGACTACGAAGATTGTATAAATGAACAGTACCTTGTTGTTCACCTGTATAGAGACGTAATGAATCTGTTAAATCATATTTAATACATGTTACTCCAGATGAAAAAGAACGAAGGACAAATGTTGGTAATGGTGGTGGTAGTGATGTATGTTTTTTATTCATACTCTGAAAAACAAAAGATTATTGCAAAAGTCCATATGATTTCCTTTTTTTTTGTTTTAGAAAAATATTTCGACATTGAAACAAAAGTAAAATATTCAAGTTTAGTTTGTCCTCTATCATAACATCAAAAAGATATATATGAAGCAGTTGTGACTTTTTCGAAAGATTAAAGTTTTTAAAAATTTTTAATCAAGGAAAATTTGTTCGTTTGATATTTTTGTTAAGTACTGATCTGACGTCAATTTGCTATTTTTTTGTTGTCGATAGTATTGCTGCATTTCATGTATTACTTTATCATATTTTATAGAATACAAAAAAAAATGAATGAGCGATCATTGGACAAAAAAGATAATTCTTAAACAATACTGAATTCTGGAGAGATCTTCCTGTAACAAAAGAAGACAATTCGAGTTTAAGAGAACCGACCTTCTTTTCTGAATGTTAAAATCAAAACTTTTTCAATTTTTGGTTTTTCATCGCATGTATAGCTTCCAAGTGTTCTCTATCAAATGGCATGTCAATGAGGGCTGTTCATTGTTAGTTAGTAGTTTTATTAAACCCAATTCTGTAAATCTCTAGCAGAAATACTCATGCTATGACTATAATTATTCTTTGTATGTAAAATTCTAATAATAATTCTAATTATTTCGCATTTCAAAGGCTCTGACAGCATGGATCATGAACTTCTAACATAATGGAACATGTCCGGTTTTCGATCACGTTAATTGGGGAAAAGAAATCCTAATACATACCCAAAAGTTAGTTTTGCGTTGTTCTTTTTCTTCTCTTTTTCTCCCCGACAGTATGTTCGATCGAGCTGAAACTTCATTAATGAGTACTCTGATCAAATTGGAGTGCATTTGTTTCCTTCACAATATTGTTTCTATGAAATTTGGCAGCCTTTAAAAAATCAGTATCATTAAAAAAAACACGTTTTCTAATGGCGCTTCTAGTGAAACTTTAAGTCTATGGCAAGTTTTGCTCTGCTTATCAAGATCTATGTGCATTAAATAGTTTCATAAATTTTCGAGGAGTCGTTTTCGAGAAACTCCGAAAAAGTGGGCAGATCTCCTTCAGATGTTTTTCAGCTATCTTTTCTTTACATACTATCGTATAATATAATCAACATTTTTTTCTTCCCTCAGAAATCACATTGGCAGTATATTGAAACTTACACATCTCACAAGATATTGCTAGAACCTCCTTGTAAACAATGAAATAGATTCCATCATGTTTAATAGTTGAAGTCAAAACAAATGTTATCTCATTGAAAATATATTAAGACTTTATTTTAATCATATTTTTTATTTAGTTTTCTCTATACAATGTTTACAAACTTGAACGAATACAAAAAACAATAGAATAAACATAATTTAAGGCAATTCAATTGCTTGAAATATCATTGTATGTTCAAGTATCTAAAATACATAAGTAAATCAAAGAAAAAATATGTAGTTGTTTCTTGGAAAAAAACTTACATTAATAACTGCACGAGTTCCTAATGGACTTGCTTCATTTGGATTAAGTAATGCATTATTAACACGAAAAGCATTATCACCATTATTTATAATATAAAATAATCCTGATTTACGAATTATCATTCCTTGAATATGAATTGTTGTTGAATTATCAAATGATATATCATATTGTCGATCAGGAAAACTTGTTCCGAATTTCAACTAGAAATTAAATAAATATAAAAATGAATTCTTTTCTTTTTTCCTTTTCTTGTGAAAGTTATTAATCATACCTCATCAGAATACATACAATAAAGACGATTATTGACATGAAGAAGTGCATAAGGAAGATCAGTTGTATTTGCGAATTGTTCTTTATTGCCTAGTAGAGAAACAACAAGACAAAAAACTGTTTTTAATCTGTCAATCATCTTACGAGATAATAATTCAAATTCAAATGGTGCTAATAACTGACTCAATTTTCTTGAAATAGCATGTTCTATTAAAGATAGAAATTATTATTATATTAAAAAAAGGACCAGTTCTTTAGCAGACCTTGAATTATCTCTGTTTGTTGTGGATTATCTAAAACAAACAAAAGAAACCTTCAATATCAAATTTCTATTTCATATACTAACATGCATCTTGTTGATCATTAAGGCGACCTTGTTGACGCATTTGTAACCAACATTCACGTAACTCATCAATAGTTCGATTTGACCAAAATTTCTGTGAATTTTTACTTAAACATGCATCTAATTCATTATCAAGTAAAGTTGGAATTGTCTAAACAAAAAATTTATTATCCAAAAAAAAAAGAATTTAACTGTATTTACACTAATAAACAAATGTCTCCGTTCTAGAGAATCTCAACTATTATAAATACTGAAGGTTTGAAAATTGTTGTATACATGCTTTCTTAAGAGTGACATGATTTTGCTTTCATTTCTTATGTATAAAGATAAGCATGGTGGATGACCCCTGCTGTTTTTTTACATTAAGTTTTTTAATCTGAACAGGACTACCTAGTCAGTTTTGAACTACTTTCTAATGAAAAACATGATTAATTCTCGATGTTTTTGAATAGAATGGAAATTCAGCCTACGGCCACTCTTCATACCAAAAGATGAGTTCATTTGCTCGAATAGATTGTTTTTTAAATAAAACATTTAGACGCCAAGGTTCAATTGTAGAAGTAGCTTTTCTAAGAGTTTGAGGGTCATTCATTGAAGTACTACTGCGTTCTAGTCTCAAGAGAAAGTCAAATGATTTTCCTTTATATCAATAGTCACAGAAAAATGATTGCAATGCTAAAAAGAGTCGATGGACTTCAATGGCATTAGCTGCATGAATAGTTAGTATACAACACTTTCATCTTTTACATAGTTATGAAGGTCAAAGCCAATGTTAGTGTCATTCATCATAATTCTCTTTGGACTTGAATAATCGAAGTAGAAATGTGTCTTTGACACATGTCCTTAACGAAATAAGTACAAACAAGTTTTTAATCCTCTAACACCCGTATAATAAATGAGACCCTCTAGAACAGAAACTTTTGGTGACTACTGTACATGTGATGGAATTGATGCTAATAATTGCTCTTCTTCCTCATTAAATGGTATATGTAAATTTTCTATTTGTGACATTGACAGTTGTTGTATTTTTGTTACAATCATTCTAATTGGAAAGAAAAGGAAACAAGATTTTTTTTTTCAGAGATAAATCAATGAGATAAAGTCTGTACTTGGAAATTGCTACGTCATATAATAAACATTGCCATCGATCTTGAATATTTTCTAATGAAAATGGCATTGAAAATTTGACTTGTTTGTGAACACATTCTAAATCACATAAATGTAATACACTTGTAATTAATAAATAATCATCTGTTGCTGTCCAACAACCCATTTGAATAGCTGTATTACGTACTGCTGTCTATAAATGATAATTATAAGTTTGAAGAGAGAAAAAAATATTTCATCTACCTCAAGTTTTTTATTTATTAATTCTGTTTGTTCTTGATTTTGATCATTCATTGACGTTGCCATATTTTATGTTTAATTTTTTATAGGAAAAAAACGAACTTTTAGAATTAAAAGAAATCTGAAGAGCAAAAGACTTTTATTATGAATGTTATGAAACATTACAACAAGACATAACCAATGTGTACTTGAGAAAACAAAAGTTTTCTTCTCATTCATTGTGCGAACACAGTTCTGCGGAATGAATAAACACCAAACAAATGCGAAAAACAATAAAAATCTTATGAAGAAAAAAAAAATGATATGAGAAATTTAGTGAAAACACACAAAAATTCAATCAGATTATATAATAACGAGAATAATTATATGCTGTTTGTGTAAATATTTACTCGAGTTCTACAACTAAATCATCACCATGTATTTGTTGACCGACTTTAACATGAATTTTCTTTACTTTGCCATCCATTGTACTCTTTACGACTGTTTCCATCTAAAGAAAGAGTTAAAAAAGTAATGACAATATTTTGTTTTGTTTTGTTTTTTTTCGTACCTTCATAGCACTTAAAACAATGACTGTATCGCCTTTCTTTATTGAATCACCTTCCTTGATTTTGATGTCTAATACTTGACCTGGCATTGGTGCACCTAAAAATACAAGAACATTATGACATATTCATAAGTTCTATTCGACTTTGCTTAGAGAATAAAAAGCAATTAAAGCAGCAAGTCAGATAATGGTATAAACTGAATTTTGAAAAGAAAATTTATTCAGATTCCTTTCTTTTATATCCTGGGAATGTTTCCTCACAAAATGAGCAACAAAACCAATTCATGAAGCTTGTGTCAAAGTATCACATGTTAAGTATAAGAGCTGAGAAATGAATGGTTTGTTCTCCTTAGAACTCTTTGATTTCAAATGATCACATTAATGAAGGAAATTTCGCAGCTGATTAATTGCTTTTGAGTTAGGATAATATGCATCATGTACATTTTAATGAGCTATGATCACCTTGAAAACATTGCTTACAGTTAGCTTATTGCTAGTGATAGTTATATACTACATTTTTACGGTATTTTATTTTCAACTTGCAATTATATGCAGAGATTAGCCTTATTCAAATAGTATAGCACGAATTATTTCCAGAATATTCACAGGTCATTAACGTTCACATGATGCACAAAATTTGGACTCATAAATAAATAATCTGTTGGCAGAATTTCCTTGTTACTCTGCTAGTGCATAATCTATAAATATAGAATACAATACTATTTAATAACACAAAAACGTTTCGACTGGCAAACTTGAAATTTTTCTACTGATTTATGTAAATAATTTTGGAAGTGAAAATATATCTTTCATTGAAATATGTCAATTCTACTTTCAAAAAATTTCTTTTCTTTTTTTTCTTGTTGCTAATTCAACTTACCAATTTGAGTCTTTATACTCTTATCAACTTTTGGATGAACTTTTTGATCTTTAATAGCTGCTTTATCTTTAACTTTCATGGAACGTAATTGTCCATTAACTTGAAAGAATACTTCACGTTCACCTGTTGCAACC